TAATATATATTGTTTGCACTTGGGACGGAGTTTGTATTATTTATCGTGTAGAGTGCAACAGGATGCTTGAATATAATATAGTCAAACCTAATTTCAATTATTATAAAGCTATGCTGAATGACGAAACATTCATCACTGCAGGAATCTCTTCCTCGTGTCACTTAAAGACGCCATGTTTGTCATCGTGAGTAGTAGTATTATTATTTTTATTAATATTATTAAAGGGGGTGGGTTTCCCCATGCACTTAGATCAGTTATTGGTCCATTGTGCGTCCCCCTTTAATTTCTACTGTCGCCATACCCTACCGGTACTGGTGTGTGCTATCAGCCCCGTTCAGCCAACGAGGACCCACGGCTTAAAGTCCCTCCAGGAGGACTTGTTCCCTGAATTTTTCCGCCCTTAAAAATTCCACGACCTCCGCCGGGTGGGAACGTTACCCCCAGACTACGGAGGCCGCTTTGAGTAGTAGTAAGTATTATTACTTACTACTATTGCTGCCGCTACTGCTACTACTTTTACTGCTGCTATTACTACTACTATTACTACTGCTTCTCCTACTGCTACTACGATCATTTACGTTTTAGTCTGAAATTTTGAAGGAACGATACAGATTCCAAGACCTACGCATGGGTAAGAGAGTGACATTAAAATGTAACTTGGAACAATAGAGTCCGAGGATGTGGACTGGATTCAGCTGTCGGACTTTTGTAGAAAGGGTAATGAAAACTCAAGTTCCTCATTTTTTTTGTGGCCCTACAGTCCCAATTTGGGCCTAGGCCTACCTCCATGAAACTCTCCGTTTCCCTTCGGTTTACTTGATCTTACACATTCGGTAGGACTCCTTGGGCGGGTGATCAGCTCGTCGCAAGGCCTCTACCTGTAGACAAACACAGAAAAACGCATACAAACATCCATGCCCTGAGTGGGATTCGAACCCACGATCCCGGCTTCGGAGCGAGCGAAGACAGTTACGTTCCTCATAGCATGAAGAATTTGTTGATTAAAAGAAAAACTACTAGCTTTTGAAAAATAATCTACTTCATGGAGTAAGCATTATTCCATGCTAAGTTGGTCCTTTGTCACGACAGGATAGAGCGTCCTCAGGTTCCGAGAGGAACAGACGGCTTCAAGATACGGAATCCTGCGAATATACTGAATACTGAGGAGAACAAGGGGTGGTCTTGCGGTTTGAAGTTTCCCGGGGGCGGGGGCGGGGGCCAAAAACACCTCAGTACGCAAATGTAATTGTACTAGACTTCGCAAAGTACTACAGAGTT